GGGTTCGTCTCCGACGGGCTCGCTGGACCAGGCTCGTTCTCCGAGGGGCGTCCCAGATTCAATCCAGACATGCCAAAGTCTCCAGTCGAACCTTTGACCGGGGTCTCGAACATCCCAATATTGCTAGGGTTGGGGATCGGCGGGGGGCTGGTGTCCTGAGCACCTCCGAGTGCGGCACTGCCGGACAAATTGTCGTCTCCGCCGAAGGGGTCGGTATCGGTTCGGGGCCGAGATCGCCAAGACCGGGTCGCTTCCGGGGTCGAGGCTTCGTTAGGCTTGATTGCAGGACTGTCGGTGCCTTCCTTGTTCATGAGATTTGCAAAGCGACTTCCGCCACGATTGCCACCGCCAATAGTCGAAGTCGGAGTTGGCAAAGCAAATTGGCCGAAACTACCCATGCCACCGCCGCCGCCACCAGTAGTAGCTCCGGCCGAAGGAGGCTGAGAAGCTCCCCAGAGAGAACTGATATTGGCACCCATGGAAGGATTACCCGCCGTGTTGCTCCGCGTCAGGTTTCCAAAAGGCGGCTTGGACTGCGGCTGTCCAGCACCTTCATCCTCGCCTTGCTCCTGTTCCTTGACGTCGTTGTTCTTGCGACCAAACAGGAAAGACTGTTGATCATCGCGAGCGAATCGTGTGGCACTTGGTGAAGCGAGGGGACCGCTGCCAAAAGGGTTGGAATCCGTCGTCTCTCGGCGCCGGGTGCCAGGTCTAGAGGCAGACGACGGCGATTGCAATCCGTATCCGGCGGCGCTACCGTGTGATAGCGACGCCTTCCGTCCATTCGGTCCCGGTCCCTGGGTGCCCTCCTGTTTCTGGATAGGAGGCTTCAGAGTAGAGTTGACATCAGTTGCGAATGCCTGTCTTATATTAGTATCGTTTACCTGGTGACCTGCTCCAGATGACCGACGCACCTCCTTCTCCTCTTCAGACATGCCATTGATAGCAACGGGGTTGCTGTCGCCCCGGTTGTTCCAACAGGCAGCAGGATCTTGCGAATTGTGGTTATTGTTGGTTTTTCCCCAACCTCGCGCAGCGCTTCCGTTTGTGTGTCCCGGAGTCCATCCCGATTCAAACACATTGGAAGCGTCTATTTCCGCCGCACCGTTCTTGTACACACCGACAATCGAGTCCTTCTGGTACTGTGAAGGGGCTGGATAGTCGTATGTCGCGGCGCCAGGGGTCTGAGGAATTGCGCCGGAATCGAGCGGTGTCGAGGGAAAGGCGGTTTCGGACGAGGCTGCGGGTTGGGATGGCTGGCCGGGCGTCGTCGAGGATCGTCGAAAGGTCAGGGTGCCGTTAACTCTGCCGTCACGTCGAGCCCTGCTTGCGGCGTTAGTACAGGCTCTCAGTCACATCCTAAGCGCGCTATGCATCCTGATGTCTGGCGATATTGCGACAACGTGGCGAGAACCCAACGAGGTGGCGGTCTATAGAGTCACCATCACCAACATCACGCGAGCGCCAAATTTGCTTCTTCATCCCGAGACGCAAACAGGAAGAGAACAAAATAGCAGGGTAGCGATGGGGGTTGTTGGGTGAAATGCGGGAAGTCACTAACCATTCCCCGCTGCCAGCTCCACGTCCGTCCTGTCGACCGCCTCTCGCGTCGCGGTTGGCGTTTTGGCCGGCGGCGGCCGAGGCGAAGCTTGATGGTAGATTCGAAGGCATGGTTAATTATGCGCAAAGTAGGTATCTGGCGATGAGCAAGCGTTTGGGGGTGTGCAAACAGCGCGCAGGGGTGGTGGTATTTTTTTTGGTGGTTCGGTAGTTGCTGATCGATCTCTCGTGGACAGGTCACGAAAGGGATTCTGTAATTGAGTTGTGGGTGTGTCGGCGCGCGACTGGCTGTAGATGATGATACACGTGAAGTGATGCGGGATGCAGGTAGCTGATGTCAGGCTTGCTAAACGATGGATTGATCGAGATACCGAGAGGTCGGTTCGCGAGCGTATGCGGTTCGTCGTGCGAGGGTGGGTGAGGAGGGTGAGCTGTCTCGTCGAAAAAATCAAAGGTTTGAAAGGAAAATTGCCAGCTAGGAAGGACCCACGATGGTGTGGACCAGGGAGGAACTGTGGGGATGGGACAGCCGCTAAGCCCCCAAAAGGTGCTGCCCGTGGTTTATCCGGTCCCGGCCACACGTTTTTCTAGATGGAAGTACCGGGGAAAGGAAGGTAAGAGCGGATGACGTTGGAGACTTGGCCTTATGTTCGGGGAAGGTACAGATCAATATTCAGGTACATAATGCTACGCAGCTACTGCCTACCTACTTTCATGCTTTAATGTAGTGGTTCCTGCTGTCTTGTTGCCTTTGCTGTTTGCCCTCGCTGCCTTCCATTTGCAGTTTGTGATACCTTACTACAGCAACCTACCTTAGTGAGGCAGGTACCTCACCTTCCCCCAATTGTCAGGCAGGAGCTGTGCTGCAAGACGACAATGACGATGGTTGCATCACGTGCGTCCCACGTGACCCCACCCTGGGGCGTCCACACTGACGTTGAACGCAGGGCAAGAGCTCGGACAATTAAGGCAGGGCAGCCAGTCACCCACCGTGCCACCTCAGTCCAGGCAGTCCAACCTTGAGCCATCGGGCTTTGCTGCAGGGCTTGGGCTAGGATTCGCACTTGGATCGGATGCTAAAATCTGGCTAAACTTTTCAGGGGTCATCCCCTAGAGATCACTGACCTTTTACACTAAATTGAACTCGGCCTCTCTACCTAAGTACCTAGCTTCTCATCCTCTCGTTCCCTCTTAAGAGCTGTCGGGTGACGATGAATGATTTGAGTCGGGTTTCTTGACCCAAGCGGACATGATAAGGCAGCATTCTCAATTCCAGGTAATCGTACCCGCAGAAGAAACCACACTGCAACAAGCGAGAGAGAACACACTCGCCAAAAGGAAGGACACAAAAGAAGGAATGCCACCCACAGTCCAGCCCTTCCGGGTATCCGCATCTCATCCAATCCCTTCTAGCCTCTAACCTGTTCACTCATGCTCATGCACTCACTCACTCACTCACTCAATCAGTCTCCACGTCGCCCGCCTCCTCATCTCATCTCATGTCTCGCCCCCAGCCAGTCTCACCTCACCACGACTCGCATCCCTAACCCCCTCCATTAGCCTCATTGGCCAAGAGTGTTAGAACAAGCTCAAGGGAGAGTTTAAACATTCTGGTCTGTTTCATGCGGCCAAACGGCATCTTAATGGCAGCCGTTTCTGCTCAGGCTTAAATGAGGAGACGATCACACGCCAGAAAACGAGACGACGTTAATGTTTGGTTCCCCCTCGTTCCTACGATATTCTCACCTTCCTGGTGCGACGTGAACGTCATGCTCGTACGTTGAGACGACCTCATGGTGCTCTCATCAATCCCAACATTACTCAGTCGCCATAAATAAATTCTCTGAACAGATCTCTTGACCGCAGCCAGAGATTCAGTAAAGTGGTGTGAGAAAGTTCCATCTAGGCGACACCCCGACTCGCAGACTCAAGTCGCAGCAGTTGGCAGATCATAAATCTCGTACGAACGAGCAGCGTTATCCTGCCCATCCCACGTGCCGCAGCTCCTACGCATGCCTTGTCATCTAAACTCCATTCTTATGAGATCTGAATAGTGATTATGATGATTCCCATTACGCTGTATCGGCCGAGCCGGCTCCGACACGCTAGCGTTAGATTGCCTGCCTAGTCATCTCAAACCTGGAAGCTCAGACAGCTCCTTTTTAGACTTTAAGTCCAATCTCATCACGGACTTTCCCCCCAGCGTTTCGTCTGCACGGTATCAACTTGTTGAACGACATCTCATCAATTTCGACGACAGAGGAAGACAAAATTGAAGTCATTGACTCGCTGCAGACAAAGATGTCGCAGTCCGGACTGTTACCCCAAGACTTTGCCGACCATGGCGCTCCCAAACGAATGTTCATCGCCTTCTTCAAAAGTCGACAAGTGAGGTTCTTCGCCCTCTTTGGCGTCGGCCTCTATCTCATCCGGGCATTCTTATTGGACTCATCCAAGTCGGGTAAAGAAGATTACGCTGCCACGAATCCCTGGCGGGACCTTCCGAATGACTCGGCCGTCCACTCAACCATCCGTGAGGTGCTCCTCATCAGCGACACGCTCCGGGACGGCATGCTCCCGACCTCGCTCCCGGATGATGACTATGACACGTACTCCAACATGCTACGCAACCTGGAGACGCGGCAAGATGTCACTTGGCTCGTCATCCAAGAGACCGGCGTTGACAGGATCATCATGGCCATTGCCAATCGTGGCGGACATCATAGTCCTATTCCAGAGGAGCCCCACGACTTACATGAGCGTGCCAAGACGCTTCACGGTCACTGGTCGGCGCTCGCTGCAGCCAACGACAAACCAGAGCGATGGGAAGCTCGGTTCGACACGACTTGTCTCCCGCCACTGGCCGCCAGACAAGGCAGCGCATCAGGACAAAAAGCCGGTTCATTCAAGCTGGATTTGACTCCCGCACAGAATGCAGATGCGGAAGCCAGGTACAAGGCCTATCGCAAGCGCAGGGATCGTGCAGTGTCGTATCTGAAGGATCACCCGCCCAAGCCGATGGCCTGGGTGCCGGCGCAGACGGACCCGGAGAAGCAGCGCGGTTTCTGGGAATCGCTGTTCAGTGACGGTGTCGTCAAGGCCGGACGCAATGTGGAGGGGGGAAAGCTGGCAGGCAACCCAGGGTTCAAGCCCGTCTACCGTGATCTCATTACTGAGCGTGTCCCTTACGACTGGGTCAACCCGGATGAGCAAGTGAAGGAGTACACCGAGGCGGATCACTTGAAGCAGATGGAGGCCTTCAGGGAAGAGTCCCGCATCAGGAAGGAGAGAACGGACAAGCAGGCGGCTTACCAGGAAGAGCTCAGAGCCGAGGAGAGACGGAAGCGGGGAGAAAAGGAAGAGCTTTGATGCCTTTGACGAGGTCAGAGGTCAAACCCAACCTGTACCTTGAACCCCGCGTGTCATATTGCTGCAGCGTTGCATAGAATCATCAAATGGCCATTGCTTTCTATCAGGTAGTCGCTAGTAGTTAATACAGTAGATAATTCAATGCGATATCTCCATCCTCTCCCAAGGGCAGCAGCTTCATCAGGTTACACAAAGCTGGATCTCCCACCACGCCACAGTCTCACCCAACAGCCAGCCACAGCCTCCTTCCAAACTAAACAAATCCCAATCGGGCCCCTGACGTTGCTCATCCGCATCTTAGAAGCCCGAAAGAACGGCACCGATGGAAGCCAGCGCCGGAACAGCCTGGATGAAGAAGATGCGCGGGTTCGCCGTGGCTCCGCCGTACGCGCCGGCCGCGACGATGCAGGCGAGGAAGAAGAGCTGGAGCTGGCGCCCGAACTCAGGAACGGGGTGAGCGATACCCCAGGCGAGGCCGGCGGACAGGAAGCCGTTGTAAAGCCCCTGGTTGGCGGCCAGGGTCTTTGTCTTTTCAGCAAAGTCGGCGGTGAGGTTGAAGGCCTTGCGACCTCGGGGCGAGGTCCAGAGGAACATCTCCAGGACGAGGATGTAGCCATGGAGGCCGGCCATGAGGCCTGCTGCCGTTGCGCCGATGAAGCCCATTGTTGGAATGATGCGGTTTTTTGGGGAGGTGAGGATGAGGTGAGGCTGGTGGCTAGTGATGTGTTGTTGAAAGCTTGTTGTGTGGATAGCGAGGGGAGGCTGAGACGGGGGAAGGACGAGAACGAGCAGAGGTGGGGAAAGCGGCGTTATCGTCGGTGAGGACTGAGGGCTGATGATCGTCACTTGTCTCAGACAAATCTGGCAATAATTGAGTTTTTATCCAAAAATCCTCACATGGGCTGGGCCAAGACAAAACGCTGGAGAAATCAACCTGCGGAACGGAAAAACAAGGAGATCGTGAGGAATTTGGATTACGCCTCGGCAACACCGAATACGAATTGGGGAGGTCGCGAGTCAGACGCCTTACCGTACACCGGTTACACCGAGGCTCACCGAAGTACGAGTGGGATGCCGGGGGCCTCGCGTTCAAGGTGGTACATTTGCTACCTGTCCAATTTTCAAGGCCTTTTCGGTATCCTTATCATCTTGAGATAGATGAAATCTCATGTCATCGACACGTTTGTGACAGTGTGTTACCTGATTGCATCCTTCTCGTCCCTCATTGTAGTCCTCGGCAATGGTCTGTAGCTGATCTTCCATCCTGCCTCGTATTTTTTTCGGAGCAGAGCCTTAAACCCCAAACACCTTCATGCTGTTCCTGTCCGGGGTTTACCTTCCATTTGTTGACATTCAGTGCAGATACCTAAGTAGAACTTGCAGCGGAAGGTACACGTCTGTTGCGACTGCATTCCGAGTTCAACAACAGCAGGAAACCAAGACCCGCTCTGGGCCATTGACCAATCAAATATCTAAAGAGATGGAAGAAGGCACGTGATCTACCATTGCCGAAGCAATCATGGGAAGGAGTTTCTTCCTGCAGGGGATGACAGGGGTACGTACAGGGATGGCGACTTCCATCCTTTCAGAGGTATTCCTGCCGCGCCCAAGCCCAAGACGCGAAAACTAATTGCTTCTCGTCCCGTCGCGTCTCAATAATCACCACCGTCTAAACCGGGCACCACGATTCGCTTAAAGCTACTTGACGACGTCTAGGCTCGCTCGTGCACAGGAATTCATGGGTCAGATTTTCGGTCAATGTTACCTCAACTTCGACGTCAACTCCTGTAGTATCGACCTACGGTAGCTTGCCTCACATGTCGACCAAATCGGCTTAGTCACATTACACGTCACTCACCACCAATCTCACGATGCCCCGAATCAAGATGGAAAGCGTCAAGGCTGAGCCGCCGAATGCCAACTTGCACGAACTGCCTAGGGTTCCCGATACGGTCCTGCAGCAGTCGGCAGCAATTACAAATCCTTCAGCATCTACCGCTGCCCCATCTTTAGAAACTGCTCAACCCAATGATTCACTCCCTCATGTCAAGCCTGGACCAGGGTCTGCAGCAGTCGTCAAGAAAGAGCAAGCCAACCCCATTCTCAGCCCCGCCAACCAAGCCAACAAATCTCGAATTTCTGTCGAAGAACCTGAGCAGTCTGCCACCCAAGAAGAAATCCCCAATTTCCTAGAGCAATGGACAACAGAAACCTCCCCTGAGATCCTTGAACGAGGCGTCAAGATCGGCTTAGAGGTCCTCGGAAGCCTCAAGGTTCCCCTCAGCCTCACCGCTTCCCTCCCAGGCACGCAGGCTATGACATGGGTCAGGGCAATTGAGGACCTCAAGGCCCGCTCTCGGCCGTCTAAAACCATTGTTGGCGTCGTGGGCAACACAGGTGCTGGCAAGAGCTCTGTCATCAACGCCCTGCTAGACGAGGAGCGACTTTTACCAACCAACTGCTTGCGCGCCTGTACCGCTTCGCCTACTGAGATCTCCTATAACGACTCCGAGAACCCCGGGGAGCTCTATCGCTCAGAGATAGAGTTTATTCCGTCGAGGACTGGAAGAAGGAGCTCAAAACTCTATTCACTGATCTTCTCGACGATAGCGGGAACATTTCACGCGAATGTGCTAACGAAGACAGCGAGGCAGGCATCGCCTACGCCAAGATAAAGTCTGTCTACCCTAACAAAACAAGAGAGATGATTGCTCAGAGCGACCCTGACCGCTTGGTCAATGAGCCTGCTGTCGCTCGTGTTCTTGGCAGCGTCAAGAAGCTGAGAGCAACCACAGCGAAGGACTTGTACGCAAGCATGCAACGTTATGTGGATAGCAAGGAGAAGAACCCGCACAAGAAGGACGTCCCCATGGAGTTTTGGCCCCTGATTAAGGTTGTCCGGATATTCACAAAGGCAAACGCCTTGTCTACTGGTGCCGTCATTGTCGATCTTCCTGGTGTCCAGGACTCCAACGCGGCTCGTGCTGCTGTAGCACAGAATTACATGAAGGCATGCACCGGTCTTTGGATTGTTGCCCCTATCAACAGAGCCGTCGACGACAAGACAGCCAAATCACTGCTGGGTGATTCGTTCAAGCGCCAACTCAAGTACGATGGTATCTACTCGGCTGTTACGTTCATCTGCTCAAAGACAGACGACATTTCAGTGACTGAGGCTGCTGAAAGTCTCGATATTGAATCTGATATCTCTGCTTCTTGGTCCAAGATCGAGAAGCTCCGCGGCGAACTTCGAGAACTCAAGAGAAAGCTCAATGACGCCAGGGAAGAGAAGTCGGACCTTGTCGACGGCCTCGAGCAAATCGACACGCTTTGGGATAAATGGGACGACCTCGCCAACAAACATGCTGATGGACAAACTGTCTTCGCCCCATCAGAGAGCAAGAAACGGAAGCGTGGAGCTACTTCATCCAAGAGTCGGAAACGCAAGTCATCATACTCCAGTAGCAGTGAGTCAGATGATTCGGACTACAACTCGGACAGCGATAAGGAAAACCATCCCGATAGCCAGAACCGGCAACCTTTGACAGAGAATAAAATCCACGGGAAGCTAGCTGATCTGAAGAATCACAAGAAGAGAATCCGACAGAGGCGAAAGGAGGTGGATGCGGTACTCTCCAACATGCGACAGGAAATCAAGAACATTCAGGCAGAGGAAGAGCGGCTGCTTGGGGCAGCCAAGGCGGTGTGTATCCAGGGCAGAAACAACTATTCCAAGGGCGCCATTCAGCGTGACTTTGCCATGGGTATCAAGGAGTAAGTCAAATTGGGCTCTTGCCTAAATGGACACAGACTAACTTGCGTAGGCTGGATCAAGAGACTGCAATCGAGGAAGACGAAGAAACATTCAATCCCGACGAGGATATCCGTGATTATGACGAGGTCGCCCGCAACCTGCCCGTCTTCTGTGTGAGCAGCCGCGCTTACCAGAAGATGCGAGGACGGCTGCAGAAGGATGATTTCAACAATGATGGCTTCCGGGATGTCAACGAAACAGAGGTTCCTCAACTTCAACAGCACGCTAAGAAGCTCACCGAAGGCGGCCGCGCTGCTGGTGGCCGTCGCTTCCTTACCGAACTCAGCCAACTTCTCAACTCAATGAAGATGTGGGCTGCCAACGATGGATCGCGGTCTCACTTAAGCCAACGAGAGTTGCAGAGTGAGGGAACTCGTGTGCGAGTGCAGCTTGCTACACTGGACAATGTGAGCCACAGCTCATCCTCACTTTACAGTCATTGACTGACACGCGACAGGACTTCGCCAAAGCCGTCGATGACTGCATTGTTTCCGTGAAAGACGCGCTATCGGAGAGTATTTACGACTACTTTGACCTATCGATTCCTATGGCAGCCAGCGCGGCTGGTCCTACGGCATCCGGCTGGGGTGCTCATCGCAGCGAAGGTGGAATGTTTTGGGCCACATACAAGGCAACATGCCGCCGGTCGGGAGTCTACTCAGGCGTATCTGGTCCTCGGGACTTCAACGCAGAGCTGCTCGAGCCGATCTCCCGACAGCTAGCGAGTGGTTGGGAACGAGCTTTTCAGCGTCGACTGCCATCGGCCTTCGAGGGCTTCGCTATGAACGCTCGCCTTTTACTCGAGGGGTTCCATGGCAGCGTCATTGCACGATCTCAAGAGCTGGGTGCCGATTACAACGGCATCAATATGCTGAGTACGCAGTTGCGAGCTCACACCGCCCGTCTCAGGGAGATCCCTGGGACACTTCGCACAGTCGTCCAAGAGTTGCAGCGTGAGGCTAGCCGCGGCTTCCACCCTGTCGTTCAACAGGAAATGCAGCCGGCTTACGACATTTGTGTCGCGGAGTCAGGTAAGTCAGGCTACCACTGTATATTCCAATTATCCGTCATCTAACTATCAACAGGCCCTGGTTCCTACGCTCGCATGAAGAATCATATGGTCAGCCACGTTGAGGCCTCCCGTGATACCATATTCCGCCACTCCACTGATAGCGTCAAGGAGCAGCTTGAGGCGTTGTGCCGACGACTTCAGGATGAATTGACTGCGCATGTTCAAGACATCTACAGCCTGCTTGCCCGCGATTACCTACATGTCCTCATTGGCGTCGACAAAGATCCTAAGCCCACTGGCCTCCCTCGTGCTGAGCGACTGCTTCGAGCAGAGATGTACCGTAAGCTGGAGCAGACAGCCAAACGCTTCGCCAGACCTAGTCAGGACGCGAGCGCAGATGCTGCAAACACTACCGGCGGAGGCGACGGTGACGACCCGTTTGCAGACTCGGCCATAGCTGATATGGACGATCTTTTGTTGGCCCAGCTTTGCGGTGATACTGTTCAGGGTGCTGATGCCCGGGGAACAGTCAAGAACGAGCCTTGTGCATAATACATCGCTGCGCCCATTTGCGCTTTCTTTCAGAGGGAAAGTAACGGCGAATTTCAGGACTCTTGTACATTGTAGAGTCTTTCGGCGTGGATTCCTCGTGTTGCTCATGTCTTATTAGCTATGCAAAGCGGCTTCTTCAGCGTGGCATGGGTACGGCAATAGGAGTTATGTGGTCCGGTTACACAGATATCCAGAATGATTACTTGCTTTGATGATACCACCAAACCGATTTCCCAATGTGAGAAGTACTGAGAGTTATTTGACTTTATTGCCCATTCATATCGTTTCACAGGGCAATTGTGACTCTCGGATATTTACATAAGTTTAGGGTGAATAGCTCTACAGCCTCAACACCTAACACTCAGAGCCCCATTGACCATCCCAATAGATCTACAATGCCAGCGTCCGACTTATGCAAACCCCATCTGATTGTAGGCCTCGGGAAGGCGAATACGTTTAGACAATCTACAAATCATATCCCATTAGCTGAGTCCTCTTTATGAAAGGGCTTGAAAAGTACATACCTCGCAAACACCCCACTTGCCCAAGCCAGAGCATCCGCAGGACGTACTACCCTGGCAGGGAGCGGCGTTCCAGCTGCCCTTTGCGTCGCCGTTGCAGACGCACCAGGAGCCGGCGATGACGCTGTTGCAGCCGCAGGAAGAGGTGGCGGCGCAGGAGCAGAGGACGTTGATGGGGGCGCGCTCTTCGAGGGCGTCGGCCTTGGTGTTGGTGTCGGCGACGGGGGATGTGAGGGCCATTGTGGCGAGAGAGGTGAGGATGAGGGCAGTGAAACGCATTTTGGGTGGTTTGAGGGAGGAGAGTCGGATTTGGTGGTGTTGTGGATGTGTGAAAGGTGAGTGTTGATGATGTGGTTGTCGGTTTGATGTAGAGGAGTTGTTGGCAGAATCACTGCCGTGACTTATATATCTCGATTTGTTACCATCAGTTACCGAGATGTTGTCATCTTTCACATTTTCTTAATATTTGAGGCTCCTGTATACACTCTAGGATGCGCTTCCAAGTGGACATGAAAGCAAAGGATGTAAATCCTCGAAAGGAGAAAGAATATTGATGCCTAGATATTCCCTGGCGGGAAATTGGGTATTGAATTGTCTTTTGGCCCGGTTTAAAGCCATAACTCAAGGGTTTTTTCGTGTAATTGTGGACTACGAATAAGGGATAGTAGACCACAAATCTCTACACGTGGGGTGATGTGATGAGGTTCCATAGTAAGCTGATAGACGGCGTTGTGGGGCCGGATACAACGTAACTAGGACGGTCAACATGTTAGCCCCACGAGTTGATCAACACCGCCTCTTCGTATAATCGGTCGTTCGACTGAAGGAATATGAGGCCGCGAGCACCGACATCCGGACAGCGGCTGAGCAGAGTGCTTGGAACCCATACCGAACATGATGACCGATAGCCGACAGTCAGTCTTCACAAATGACGAACCATGTAGAAGGTCCACGTTCTCATCACATTGTCTTTTAATTCGACGAGGCTATGGACGCGCGTCTCCTCTGACCGTGATTTTTGAAGGAATCTAGCCCTGTACGCTCACATCCTCATTGGGATCCCAATAGACAGGAAGAAAATGAGAATTTGACAAGAAATCGAGATCAGGAAAGCCGGTTTCGTGCAATTGCTATATCTTTCATTCTTTGCATCTTTTACGTACCAAGTGACCCGCAACATGTATATTCGCTCTGCAATTACATTCCATACTATGGCACGTCAAACCATCCTTATATCCTTACTCTTTGCTTTCGTCCTCCTCGTTACAAAAGACCATGCTCTCAAAGTCGTATCTCAAATTTGACAGCCCAGGTCCCTCAGAGCCCAGCTCATTTCCATCCTCATCAAGATAGATGTAATCATCTACTGAAATTTTGACGGGCTCTTCGAGCTCTTCCATCTCACTATCATCCTCGAGTGGCTCCTCCAAGTCGGACGACTCTTCAGACTGGGACCAGTGTCCGCCCCCACACATGTGAGCATAGATAGTCTGGAATGTTGGATTACTACCAAATATGAACCCGCGAAATGCTTCTTGGGAAACACAGCCGTCGGGGAGGTCAGAGGGGGCACCCGGGGGATTGATGGAGGTGCAAGGACGTGAAGAATCATTACAGGAATCATCTTGTTCTGAATGGCCCTCGGTGTTGAGAGTGTCTAGAGGTGTAGCCACGTCGGTACCTGGAATTGGCTGCGCTTCTATGAGAATAGGCGTCACACTGGTCTCGCGAGAACTCACACTTGCCCCGCGAGAGAACAGGCGAATCGTAGCTAGAAGCGCCAATCTTCTGATATCGTCATCTGAGAGACTGGTCAAGTGTCTCTTGTCTTCTTCACTGAGCTGTTCGAATAGGTAAGCAGCGTTGCTTGCGTCCATTTTGGTTTGCTTTGGTAACTTATGAGGGAGAGTAATATGTCGGGATTTGTTGTTTCGGTGTGGTCTCTCAAAATGTTTTTCTTGTTTAAATTTTCTGAATCTGTTTGGTTGGGAATTGATTCGTTGTAGATGAGTCTGATGACTTCTCTAACGTGATGATAAAACCGCTTGGTGAGTGCACTTAAATAAGATGATTCTCGTGGTGCCACGATGGTTCAGTGCGGTCTCATTATTATCAAAGAGTTCTGAGAGAAAGACTCCGCAACAAAAAGGTCTTAAGGACAACGACATTCTCTCGAGAAAGTCGAGGGGTGGCCGAGGACATGAACAATGAACGGCTTTGTTTCCAGACTGACTGAAAGCCCTCATCCTCACGAAGACAGGACTTGTGGAATGTTTTGTCGCTAAAATTGCCATTGTTTCGTTCTCTTTCAATCTTTTTGTGTCTGGTGCATAAGCTTCAATTCCCCGGTCATGATATGGATTGCTATTGATGAGTACTGGACTTAGTGTCGATGTCGCTCAGGCCTTGCCTCTTCGATGAAGTCAATGTGATTATACACCTTCCTAAAGGGGCAATGGGAAGTCTGCACCAATTATTGGCCCCCAGACGTATCTTACGGCGCAGCTAGACGCCTTGTGAGGGGACTTTCTTCCGGGCTTACTTACAGGGGCTTACGCCGTTTGTTTGGCTCTCATACTTAAATCGCAACCATGGTTCGTAGGATTTTCTCTTTTACAAGCACACCTTCCTTCTTACTGAAGGCGATGCACTGACCGAGATGAAGCCCTTTCAGTTTCTAATCGTGGCCCTATGGGCAACCCAAACCTTAGGACAAGACACAGCACAGCGCCCCCTCCATGATGAGAATCAAACTATCGGAGATGTGCCTCGCGTAGTGTCAAAGGACCTCGACGACTTCATTGAGCGAATTCGAGAAGAGTGGCATGCCCCAGGTCTAGCCGTCGCAATTGTCGACGGGCACAACACTTGGGCAAAGGTGAAGACCCCCTCCGCCTTTTTCTACTTCGCATAATCTCGGCCGCAAGAGATAACGGCGCACAAAATCACAATAGATGACTGATTTTGCCAGGGTTATGGCTACGCCGTTCTCAATTCCACACCTGTCACCCCGCATACGCTCTACTTCACCGGCAGCACCACCAAGTCCTTCACTGCCGCCGCCATCTCTCTCCTCATAGACAACGCGAGCGCGACCTCATCGGTATACCCTGGACTCAGTTGGAAGACGCCGGTATCCGACGTCCTCCGCGATGATTTCGTCCTCAGCGATGAGTGGGCTACGGCTCACATCACTCTCGAGGACGCTATGAGCCATCGGACAGGCTACCCTCGCCATGATTTGGCACCGGCGACTACGGCTAAGGGAACTACCCGCTTATTAAGGCATCTACCGATGGCTGCTGAGCCACGCACGACTTTCCTGTACAACAACAAGATGTTCGGGGCCATGGGATATCTCGTCGAGGTCTTGACTGGATCATGGCTGGGCGATTTCTTCCAAGAGTACCTGTGGGAGCCCATGGGCATGAACGAGACGTTCTTCTCTTTGGAAGATGCCGAACAGAGCGGCTTGGTTCTTGCCAAGGAGTACTACTACAATCCAGATGACGGGAGTTACCTGGAAGTACCGCACGAACCTTCCTCTGGCGAAGAAGGCGCAGGTTCCATCGTGTCAAACGTCCTCGACTACGCCAAGTACCTGCGCGTCATGATGACCGAGTCCGCGCCAATCTCAAAGGCGGGGCATCGTGAGGTGAAGACGCCACGCACTTTCGTGGCTCCTGCGATGGCACCGTTTATTGGTCCTATAAGCTACGCTTTGGGGTGGAATACTGCCATCTTGGGAGGCGAGCAGGTGTATTTTCACAGTGGCGGAGTCAACATGTTTATCTCGATGATGATGATGATACCTTCGCAGCAGATCGGCGTGGTGGTCTTCACCAATACGGATGTCAAGGCTCCGCACGTGATTGCGACCCATATTCTCTCGGAACACTTGGGGATTCCCGAAAATAAGAGACCGGATATGAACAAACAGTATGTTTCCTGCAGATCCTTGGTTCGTCGGAGTTCTAATGAAAGGATAGGTACAAAGACGAGAAGAAAGCCCAGCTGGAGTATCTCCAGACATGCGCAAGCGAGCTGTACCCTTCGCTTCCGAACCCGCCTTTGTTGCCAACATTGCCCATCCCGGATCACATCGGGGAGTTCCACGACGCTGGATATGGCACTCTTGAGGTAGACTTGGATTGTTCGGATTCCGTTGAGAAATGCCAGCTTCGCGTCCTCGGAATGGGAGGAGAGGCGTTTGCGTACCTGGAGCCGGCGATATACCTCGAGCCAATGTCCGGCAATCACTGGCTTGGTCGAGGCTACATGGGAGGAAAGAAAGCACAAACAGTTGGCATCCCGATCCTATGCGTACCCGTTGAGTTCAAAGTCGATATTCTTGGGAAGGTCTCGCAAATTGGTGTCGGGCTGAGATTGGAGGGGGGCGATGAGCCACTCGTCTGGTTTGACCGCGTCGTTGTCCCGTTAGGGGAATGATACTTAAGTAGATCTCAGGACATGTTGCGCCAAATGACATGCAACACTCTCATTCATTTGCCCTGACTTGCAAGCAATGACAGGTAACATTTTGTGTCTTTCACCAGGTTTCGACACAGCTGGAGAACCCAAAGTAGAAAGAAAGCTTTTAAAAACCTATTCACCTCTGTTCAATCAGCTCTTCAAGTAGAGTATTGAGTGATCCCGATCGCGTTGGAAGAACAAGTCCATAGTGCAACATTGACGGCTTTCCCGGCACGGAGTCCGTGGTGGGGCCGATAGCGCAGTCCTAGGCACGGGTCCCCACGGCACCAGTAAGGTACCTGATCGTCTAGTGCGACAGAAGTAAGTCTGCGATTTTCCTCCTGCAAACTCAATACTAGAAGAACTAAGTTGAGAGCATTGAGTCACTTGGCAACTTACGCAGGATGCCCCCTTCCAGAAACGCTTCCCACGAGGAAGATAAGAGTTCTTCAATGAGTGAACAAGAACGAAAGTAGGTGGAGTTCTATGGTGAACGCCAGCACCCAATTACCCCCAACGAAAATCGCTAACGAGGGGTTGCATCAATCAAAGACGACTGCGCAACCGTCTATCACAGCAGGCTTTCCGTCGCCGACAAGCGGAGCGCATGAGAGAGCTAAGTAGCAGGGTAAACACCGACCAGAAGTCTGACAATGAGCGCATCGAGGAGCTTCAGCGCGAGAACAGGCAGTTGCGGGCGCAACTTGTCGATGTTCAAGCCAGGATGTCGCGACTGCTTGCCAACATTCAGGGTTTGAGCGACTCTGTCTCAAAGACTTTGAATGATACGGGATCTCAAGACAAAAAAGGTTTTGAGGAGACAGAAGATTGTTCATTGCAGCTCTCAACATACGACAACAAGCAGACTTATGGAGAACCCGGTTTCCCAGGGCCATCTATGCAGCTGGAACCCTTCGACACATCATCACTGAACTTTGACCCGCCGCTTGCGCATCATCCTGGTCCAGGTAAGCAATTCAAGATCCGGAAATTCATCAATCAGCAACTGACGGTTCTCCAGGTCAATCTGAGGATGCATTTCTATCATCGGAGCTTATCAATGTTACCGGAACCAGCCCCCTCTATACGCAGATTCCAAACATTTGGAGCTTTGAGTACCAAACTGGGATAGAGCCGTACTTGACTGCGTTGGCTGCATCTCAGGAGTCAAGCATGGCACTGAGAAAGGACATGCCCATATCAAATTCGCCGTTCTCGGACCACATCAAGCTTCTCCAGCATCTTCTGAAAAGCAAATTGGCGGCAAATGGCTTCAATCCGGACAGCCAACCGTCGATGCAAAGGTGAGAAGACCACATGTAACAAGCGCGCAAAACTGACAAGTATTCAGCATATATCAACCAGTTCTTATGGTATTGTCCATGTTTAACAGCATGACGCGACCGGATGTCATGGCATGGTACGCCAAAACGCGCTTTTTCCACATCATCGAGCTTACGGCCTGGCAACTTTACCCCTCGCCCGCAACATTCCAAAAGTTACACCAGCGGTATCGGCCAACCGACACGCAACTAAAGCATCCGCACCCGCGCGTGATAGATTGGATACCCTTCCCCTCGATCCGGGACCGATTGATCGAGCTCCATGCCGCCAATCCCCTTATCGACCAGATCTTCTGCGACGCCGTCTCGGGATACGTTGTAGAAGCGGTCATGTCCGAGTTGATAAGCGACGCGCCTCAAATTACAGTCTACGTCCGGGTGACGGACCTTATCGCAGCCATGTCATCCGGGGCCGGCAACAACGATACCCCCGCCAGTCTCCCAGCCCCGGATATCACCACTCTCTTCTCGTCTCCGTCCCATGCTCGCGCGGCGTTCAAGCAGTTGAACATGGACAAAGGCGCGTCGTACTACAAGATTGATCCGGCCTTTTACGCGAAATATCCAGAACTCTATGACCAGTCAAACGGCCTCACAGCAAACGGCGTACCGCTCAAGCCAAGATCGCAAAAGGTTCTTACGTACCCGAAACCCCTCGACGACTCCATGGTTGAGACCTACCGGAGTTTCATAGACTTCTCCATGGATGCCACCAGCACCATTTCCTCAACGACGGCCCCGTGATGTGTGTCTTGGGCCACCTCTTCCCCGCGCATGGTACTGCACTGCACGGTCAACCAAAACACTTCATGCTTTCCCGATCACCGGAACCCCGGACTGTCAACCCGCACCTATCCGCTGTCACGCCGTGTGTAGCCGTCATTTTTCAGGCAATCTCAAGGACCATGACATCCGTAGTTTCGGGAAAGTCTGATAACGGTCTTTTTTTTGTTGAGCGCTGACCCACCGCGATCGCACTGACTATCGTTGACTAACGTTCCACTTACTAACGCTCGGATCTTGTCATCGTCTGAAAGCTTCAGTGGGCTTTACGGTGGGGATGGGGATTTCTATATAGAATTCCCGGGAAACTGGACCAGATTCCCATGATTCCAGTGACTCATTTAAAGCTCGCTATTGTTTTTCGTCTCGTCACATATTCACAGCATAATATGCCTTCACAATTCCCGGCTCCTACAGCGACTCCTCGCTACAGCTTCTTGGACGATTACAGCGAAGGAGCTCACCCGGCATTGCTCAAAGCTATTCTCGCCGGTAACACTTCTCAAGAAGCCGGCTACGGAGGCGACTCATACTGCGACCTTGCCAGGCAACGGATACGTCGGCACTTGGGTCGCGATGATGTTGGAATCTTCTTCGTACCCAGCGGGACATCAGCCAATGCCATCTCCATCGCGGCATGTCTGAGACCCCACGAAGCTGCCATTGCTGCGAGCTCGGGACATATAGTCACCAGAGAGACTGGTGCAGTGGAAGCCAGCGGGCACAAGATCATTAATGTCGCGCCTGTCAATGGCAAGTTGACGCCTCAGAGCATCCAGAGGGCGGTGGATGAGAATTGGCACTTCCCTCACATGGCAAAGCCAAGACTAGTTTACATATCCAATGCGACGGAGATTGGGACGATATACAAGAGAGACGAACTTGCTGCAATCAAGCAAGTCTGTGAACAAAACCAGCTTATACTCTTCCTCGACGGCGCACGCATCGGCACAGCAGTAGCGTCAAAATCAAACGACATGATGCTTCAAGACATCCTGGAGCTGACAGATATCTTCTGGATCGGAGGCACAAAGAACGGAGCGTTGCTCGGAGAAGCCGTGGTTGTCAAGGACGCTCGTCTCGCGACCGAGTTCGAGTTCTACGTCAAGCAGCATGGTTCACTGCTCGCCAAGAGCAGAATCATGGGCGCGCAGTTCGCCGAACTGTTCAGAGAGGACCTCTACTTTGACCTCGCGCGGTTGGCTAATTACTGCGCCGAGACATTGTCGAGCGGTATTGCAGCAGCCGGGTTCTCTGTTCACGCGGTGACGGAGACGAACCAGGTGTTTGCGGTACTGCCCATGAGCTTGATCAAAGTCTTGCAAGAGCACTTCATCTTTTACGTGTGGGAAAAGCGAGGGGATGATGAGGCTGTGGTGAGGTTGCTCACAACATGGGCGACGGAAGCGACAGAGGTCGAAAAGTTTGTCGGTTTAGTTCAGGGCTGGTCCGCTGGAGCTGCCGAAAGTCGAATTTAATATTACACAAAAATGAAGAATACCAATTAGAACATACCCTACTTCAGCGTTTCAATGGCCTTTCCAACATCGGGAATCTCAGAGGCAGTCGTGGCTGGACCACCCCACGTAACCTGACCCTTCCCGTCAACAGCCCACGCTCCGGAAGTCTGCCATCTGTTACCGCTCTCAGTAGGCCTGTTGGCGATTCCCTCTTCACGAGAGAGCTTGAATACATCCGACAGCGCCCAGGGGCTCAGTACATGCCAGAAACTCGATGTGCCGAGTCCCCATTTAGCGTACACGTCGCGCTCTTCGTTGGCGATGACTTGCACCGGGTTCTTGTCGCCGGGGCCGCCGACTTCGGACAGCCATTTCTGCGTGTGCGACTCTGACGAGTGAGAGACGGCGATAAAGACGATTTCGGGATGCTTCGATGCTGCTTCGCGGAGCGTGATGAAGGTCTTCTCGGCGACTGGTGGGATGTGAGTCTCACCGACGATCCTACAGGACGGATGCCCACCCGACGTCTGGAGCCATTGACTTACATGGGCATCCACAGTGCCGCAGGAAAGCGATTACAGCGGGCTTACCATCCTTGGGTAGTTGGAGCTGGTCGGTGCTTGGGGCCGTGTCGCCCGCTTTTGGTGGGCTGGACAGGGTCAACGATGTTGGGGACATCCATGACGTGAGCTCCTGCATGAAAGACATGGTGCAGCTGAGTTCTATAAGTACGGACGTTGTAATTGGGACGATGTTGTTGAGAGTATGTGTAGTCCTCAAGAATGAAGGACTGCAGTGTCCATGCCGGTATTGGACTTTGAAGAGAACGACAGCGCTACTCCATCACGTCATGGTTTGTCATCACTTGACACCATTCAGACTAGGCCGATGCTTGCGCCGGCCGGAGTGGAGTAAGGGGATCTCGGCCGAGTCCGTGGTTGGTTTGATGCGGAGCTGTCTTTTCAACATTCAAGTTCAACACGTGAATATTGTCACAAAAAGTGAGTGCGAAGAGTTCAGCTCTCTTAGACTGGCGGTTGTATGGGAAGCTCTGTTACGAAGTACACGACCATACGAACGCAATGGAGATAGTTTTCCGAGACTCCAGGGACCAGGGAGATAACCAATACCATTTCGGCGCCAGCAAGAAAGACCGAGGAATACTTCAGATATCGGCAATGCCAAGAAATCAAGCAAGCTTGGTACTTGAATGCAATGCAGTATCTATCGTCGTTTTCTCGGAGGGCCCTCGTCGATCTCGAACACAGGCTTGCGCTTCTTGATGACCTCGAGTGCTCTCCTCGACATACCGGACGGAGCTGCATCTTGCTGCGCGCTACGTTCTCCTTTCTCTAAATCTTGCTCCTGAATCGCAACACCATCTGTGCGTTTGACGTTTCTGTCTAGCGGGTAGGCAGCCGGCAGAGTTGATTCATCTGAGGCAATTACCTCTTGCCATGTCCTGGCTATCTTCCTCATGACTTTTTCGTCCTTGCGACGTCTAAGATCCGCCTCCAGTCTACTCAATTGCCGCACCTTTGAACTACTTGCCTTACTCTCCGGTTGCTTGCCCTTAGTGTGACTAGTACAGCTGATTCGATCTTCTTGCTCCTCGAGATTCATGGCGAAGCTGGGCTGATTGACCTCGTCAAGTTGATTGATCATGTTTTGAAGAAAGGTTGCCGTTGGAGTGGGTTCGAAAACTTCTTTCGTCTCGAAGACTTCTTCCTTTGAAGTTTCCTTAGCCTTTTCTTTGGTATCAATGTGAGGAGCGATCTCGTCCTCTGCAGGAGGTTTCGGAATCTTTCGAGGGCGGTTGGCCCAGATAGGCATCTTATACCGGGCTAGGAAAGGGGTCAATAGCAGTTCACCCAGACTGATCACAAGACTCTACTTACGAGCAACCTTTTTCCTTGGGTCCCAGTTGACAATGCGTCTACCATCCCCTTCGTTCTTTTGCTGTACCAGAATAGCACAAATGAGATTTTCGCAATGGGTATCCAGGTACGTTCTCAACTCCTCATCCGCTACGATACCTCCGAGGAAAGGTTTGAACTTTGAGTAGATGGGGTTGAATGATCCGTAAAGCATCGCAGCTGTGTTCTCACGAGTTAGAAACTTGTGTGTCAGACCTAAAGAACAGTGTGGAGGATACTCACACGTTAAATCGTAGACGAAGCCATTTGAAGCCACAAATGCGTCGTACTGAACATCGCAGCTCTCATCGGTGTGTCCATCAAACATTCTGAGTTCCTCCGGCTCAATTTCCGGGAGTCCAAGGCCTACGTCCTTAACGGTCGCTACAATGTAGCCTCTGAGACAAGCAAAGCGCATGAGGGGCCCGTTCTCATATTCTTCTGCTTGCAGAGCCTCTGTGGCGTCGAGTCCAAGGTAGGGAGAAAGAGCATCTGCGAGGTCAAGAAACTCTCCATGCTCCTCTGAGTCTCTGAGAGCTGCACCATCAGAATGTCAGTCTATTTTTCAAGAGGCTGGTTTCGTAATGGTATCATCCAAGCTCACCTTTCACTGAGTAGACCTCCTTGCCAAACCTGATCTCATGTGGAAGCACAGGCCTGTCATCGGCAAGACTTTCTATGTCATCGTCTACATATTCTTGTCGCTGCTCGATCAAATTGCCAATGTACAACTCCTGAAGACCTTTGAGAACCGTGTTGCGATTCGTTTGGTGGTATTTATTGAAGAGATCTGTAATATCTCGTCCACCATTCTCCACCAAACACTGGAGCCCTCCTGGATGTGTTTCGGCATAGTCTTCCTTACGATTAGCCATCACCCTTCAGGTTCTTTAGCCTTGGCCACCTCTTTACTTACTGGTGATATTGTAAACCTTATTCTCAATCACAACATACATCCCTGTCTCTTCGAACTCATGTCTTCTCAGCGACTGAGGCGTGAAGGTTCTGACAGAATGCTTATTGGCAACTGTGCCTGGAGTTTTGGCCAACATGCCAACCCGCCAAGGCGTCAGAGACTTCTTGATCTCTTCGAGAGAATACCCATCTTGCAGTAGTTCAAGAGATGGATCTCCACCTGAATTATTCGCCAAGAGTCTTCTTAGTCCCGGCTCCGATACACACTTCAAGTCTGTCTGATGTCAGCGATCAGTCACTGTGCACTGTATCTGCAGTCCCACATACAAGTAATATCAAAGACGTCGTTATGTATGCGGATCCACAATGGCTCTCCGCCCGTTCCATCACACTGAGCAATGTCATCTCCCCGCAGGACGCGAACCACTCGACCCAAGGGCAAAGAAGGTATGTCGGCTTCGTGGAGACACCCCACTCCATCATCAGTCAACTGAGTGCCGTAGAATGTGGGCTTGGTGAACTCAGGCAGTTCGTCCTCATCAAGCTCAAGAGATCGACAGATGGCAGAACATTTGTGAACATCCAGGTGGTGCCCATTCTCGACCAGAATAAGCTCATCTCCGATTAATTTCGCATGATCATACAGCTCAGCCACTGTGTAGTATGGTAGCTGATATCGCTGATGACTCTCACCCGGCTTTGAAGGCACAGTAAAAATTCCAGCCTTCGCAAAAGCCGGCAAGTCCAAGGAGGGGTGTTTTGCCGGGTCTTCTCCGTGAAATATTTCGGCAGCTCTGTCCCCACTGTACTTGTCTGGAGAGTTCCCAGAATTCTCACCCGCCCAATGAAAGTCCAATAAGGAAAGTATCCTACAATCGTACGTTTGCCCAGGGTATTGAGGCACTGAAAAGCGGAAGTCAAGCCACGAGGTGTAGCCGTTCGCAAAGTCGGCATCCAGTTGGGCTCTCAAGCTTGTACATTCGGCTACAAAGGCGTCTCGCAAACCGGGTGGCTCTATGCAGAGTGATGCATATGTGTTGAACGCGGTCTCGGCTAGATCAATGCAGCTGTGGCGATCACTACGTGCCAAATACGGATCGTTGGGATCTAGCAAGTGTCGCCTTTGTAACTTGATCGGAGGGTAGAGCCATCGCTCTCTGACTGCTGTCTCAATCTGTACCTGAATTGCGTCTTTCTGTGATTGGCTGAGGAGGAGACTTTGGGTTATAGTCCAAGGGTTCGACAGCAGTTGCTTTGGCTGTTTCGCCGATATGACTTCCTCTACTCGTGCAGGCAGCGAGGCTTGCAAGAGAAACCCTATAGCCCGCCAGAACCACTGCGACTTATTCTCATCATAAATGCGAGCTTGAAAGTCTCGTTGCGAAAATTCGTATTCGAGTACGCCATATTGATTGTAACCCGTGCATAGCGGGTGTATCAATAAACCGGCTAGGCGATCTGTGTCAAGTTCGTGACGATGGTTCCTGCGAACTAGCGGAACTTGCGTAAGACGTGAAAGTCTGTGTCGAGGATCGACCTGGCTGTAAGGCGTCATCTGCCACATTGCGTATGTGTCTTTGAACCACGGACGCATTCTCTGATACTTGAGCCGCCTACTCTGTAAACTCCGCGCTGACATCTTGAGCGCATTAGCCTGATAGTTTCGAGGGACGAAGTCTTCCTTGAACCGAGCCGACTTTTCGATAGCCCAGATCCAAGGTTGATAAAAGCCTCGGTTTCCGTTCTCCCTCGTGACCTCGAGCATTTTAGGTGCCTTCAGGCTTGAATAACCATACTTGGAAACGATCTGAGTCCAGAAAGGCTCGGAAGAAAGGGAAGTATGCCAAAGTGATGACAGAGGCCACCTTGTTTCGATGGTGGGGCTATCCAAAAGAAAGTCATAGGTAAGTGTAGGATCAGATACGTAAGGAAACCTGTTGATGGATAGAATCAATGGCGCATAGTTTGCGCTGAGGAAGTTTCCATCCCGTTTGGGGACAAGTCCAAACACAGTGCCTCCAAACGCATGCTGTTCAAATGACCACCCGAGCTCGCATTGGTGTTCCTGTGGGCCGAACTGGCAAGAACCATTCTAATCAGCAGAACTGACGAGTAGATTATTCAGATAACTTACCATCTCAAACCCATAACGCGGGATTCCTAGTTTCTGTAGCAGAATCTCACTGCTTAAAGTGTGAAAGCCGATCACATGCTGTAATGGGTGTGTCCCAGTGTTAGTCGATCCTGATAGAGGTGTCCTCAAAGAAACACCCAAAATTGGTGAGTGGTTACCATGAGCTCGTGAACTAGCTGTGAAAAGGAACGCATTCGTCAATAGTAAGCACCTTAGAAGACTCGCGAGGTCGCAGACTTACAGTGTCTGCAAGACACACCAGCGCCGCACTCTTGGAAGATTGAGTGGCGTCTGCATCCAGAAGCGTCTTTATCCCAAGGATGTTGACGAAGACCGTGATTGGCCCTTCCGATAAATCGTATGGTGCCGTCAATCCCTTGGTGATTCCATCCGGCTGATAGGAGTTCAGGGTTGTTTTGTCGTTGAAAGTCCAAAATACTCTGTTTAAAAGGGAAGGACAGGACAACAGCTGGATCAGTTCTTTCGCAGGTTTGCGACTAGCAGGAGATGATTTCATTCGCCAAATTCTACCAATCTTAGTTGAACCTGACAGGAGTGTCGTATCATGGCTTTCAATGTTTTCCGGGATGAGCAGAGATTGTAGCCTGGAATGAAATGCACAATGTTAGCTCTGTTTTCATTCATGCCCTGCCTTCCTCTTGCTTATAATGTGTAATTACCAGTCTCCTTCGAGCGATTTCCGCAAGATGTTATCGGCGATTTGTATCGCCTTTCTGAGAATCCCCCAGATTATCGGATCGTGCGCGCTCCAGAGATGAGACCCGGACCAATTGGTTGAGGAATTGGGGGGCGCAGTGAAGTCAATCATCCAACGGTCTTTTGACCAAACAGGCAGCCAAGACGACTCGTCGACTTGTATCTCATTTCCAATCATGGCTTGCTCCTCACCTGTGACAGTATAGGCTTCTGTCTTTGCCAGCACCGCAGCTTCCCAGGTCCGCAGCCCCGAGAGACATGAAAGTTGCTGTCGTTCCGAAAGGAGGAGGTCATCCAGTTCTGGCGGAGACGGCTGTGGAATCGTGTTGTGTGGCGGTTCAATGATCTCGAGCGTCTGCGGGTCAATCGAGGGGAAGATTGGGTCCATCCATGAGAGGCCACTCTGGCGCAGCGGGTGTGTCTCGCCAACGCCATAATACCTTTCCCAGCGACTTCCTGAAGAATCAGGCATTCTGAGGGGTGCTTAGCATGCGAAGAAATGAGTGATACCGGAGACCAGCCTGCCTCTGAGTTCAAAACAATTCCGAGTATTGAGTGGGCAAAGAAAAGTCAGCCGAGAGGTCGGAGATTGATGTCAATTGATTACCGAGTAAGCAGTCTTGAAGCTCGTTCAATGAGGGCATGAAGTCGAAGTGGGAGACTTGCAACAGGAAATAGGTGGAGCTCAATCTTTCAGAGATCGGATCAGACTGAAAACAGGACCGAGAAACGCAAAAGCTTCCCAATCGACTGAGAACAATTAAGTCGAGCGGTACAATCTCAGACTGGGCCGAGCATCATAACCGAAAAAGATGAGCACGAACCCAAAGAGTCGTAAGACTTTGGTCTTTGGCACAAAGGGCCTATTCAATGGATATTTCGGCAAGGGGTCATGCTGCTTTTTGTTGCGCCAGTGGAGTCCATGGCCAAGACCCTGGTCCGTTGCCGGATTCAGCCACATGGCAGTGCGTACTTCTGCTATGTTTCCAGAACAATGGAGTGAAGATGATTCGGATTGTTCCGGGTGTGCCTTGAAGGGATCATGGGCGTGGTAGCTAAGATTAACTTGCGAGGCGCATTGATTTCAGAGTAGAAGAGAAACTCTCAATTGATATTACCGGTCTGGTAGGGCCATAGACGTCGTGCGGAACCTCGCGTAAGACGTTGGTCGTGATACAGCTTTCCAAAGTGCTTCTAGAGCATCCCAGAAGTGTCACTTTTTCGCGTTGGCCATCAAAATGGTATTGGAATTATGACCCATCCTTAGAATGTGGCAGCGTTTGATACTTTGAGGAGGCCTGGAACATGACTGTCTGGCTCTCATGTGAGAAAATATGGCCGGAAAGTGTGCAAGCCAAAATTCGAACACAAATTGAGTTATGAAATCTCGAGTACACCCTCAACAAGCTTCTACCAAGTCATCATTCAACCCATTTCTGTTCCCTCATCAATTCAACCCCATTTTTTTGCTTGCGCCATTGCCATCATCATCGATACATGTACAAGTCCTTCCACTCCCATTCTTGCCTTGGCTTCTCTGCTTCTCTTGGAGCTGTTTCGCTTAAGCCTTCAATCCCAGACGAAGGACCACTAGCAGAGCCACGAGATTCTTTGACTACCTTCTTGTACGGCCGGACCGGAGTCGGCGAGCTCTTCCGTTTCACGCCTGCAGCTACTTGTTCTGGCAGTGTAAAACGGCTCGTAGTAACAGCTTTGATGCTCTTCTTCTGTACCTTAAGCTGCCCATTCTGCTTGCGTTTCGTTCCAGCCACGTCCTGGATTGGTTGAACAATCTGGTTTGAAGCACTAGTCGCATTGCCCTTTTTAGCAGCTTGAGCGAACGACACAGCAGGTGTGACTTTCGAAGATCCATCACCTTTCAAGTCAGGTGAATCTTCGGGGATCGGCCTGAAAGACCTTTTCCAATCGAAATCAGCGACTTGATTCGGACCATGCTGTGCTATAATTCGATATTGGAAGTCTGACCACAGCCATCGCTTCAGTTCCTGGTCTTGTAATGAGGCCGAGAGCGTTGTTCCGGCACGAGCTTTCAAAAGCTCATTGAACCGGTCAGGCTTTCCATATCTAAGATACGCTGGTAGAGTTTAGTCACTTGCGCAGACAATCATTGCCGACGGAAATACTCACAAGTCAAGCTGTATATGTACTTGCCATCAGAAACGTAAGATTCATGGAAGCCCCAAGGCTCAACTTTGCCGTCCATGCGCCCCAACATCTGATCATCCATAAAAGGCAGTGTGTCTATTGGCGCGACAACCTTGGCGACAACAAACCACTTTGTATCAAATAGTGTGCAAAGTATTCTAGGCGGACTTCCTATGTCCATTTGGGCTGTCACATCCTTTCCCCAGTATCCTTCAAGTTCTTTGGATGCCAGAAGACTCCGGACTCCCTCTAAGACAATTTCTGACAGCATTGAAAGGTTCGCTAGGTGACCAAAGTCAGTAGGAATTTCATTTCAGTCTGAACCCAATGTTTATCTCACCCTTTCGGCCGAAGACTTGATTTCGGATTACAATTTGATCCGGGGATATGACGCCCGGGCTTTGCTCAGGGACGATCCGACCAACTTGCAACCTTTCAAGATAGACATGGGTAGTGACACCAAGGAAACCCGTCGGGGATTGATGGTACTGCTCAAATTCACGTGTACAGTCTTTTCCGGCGACGCTTTGCAGAATCTCCATACCACCAGGATGAAGTTTCATGAAGTCTGTTTGATCAGCATAGAGTATTCGACCTGGATCTTTGACACGTACCGAACTTACCTGTAAGATCTATTACCGAATCCCCTCGGAAGATGGTGTATATCCCTGCCTCTGTGTAAACGTGCCACTTGACTTCGTTCAACGTGAAACAGCGTAATCGGTAAAGGCTGTGCCTCTCAAGCTCCTGCGTCCTGATTCCAATCTGATAAGGTCGAAGGAAGTTGACGATAACATTGGGATTAAATCCTAAATTGACTGCCCTGATGAGAGGGTTTTCCTGTCGTACCGCCTTAATAATCACCAGTAAATGATGCATGTGTTGTGGTAGTTGGAAGTCTTAAAGATCAGCGTATGAGCATGTGTAGAAGCCTCGAGAATTCCAAGCCAAGAAAAAACTTACTTTTCAGATCAGTTGTCAGATCAAACACGTGGTTACCAAAGGCTACGCATGACAAGCGGTCTCTGTTGTAAGCCAGTCTGATATCTTCCGTGCGCATAAACCGCATCACTTGTCCAATGGGCCCATTTTTCATACACAATTTGCGGGTCTTCTCGTTCATGTCTCCCGTGCGAAGCACTCTGTTTAGGACTGGACCGGAGGGATCTGGTCTCATTGTCAGTTTTTCTCGAGTTGCAGCATCCCACCCATGTTCCGACGACAATATTCCACTGAAGTCGTAGATCAAATGCCTGTCATCACCGTCGGCTTTGTGGACAAACCACTTGACTCCGCCACCGACGCGTTGGTGATCACCAATCTCGCCTACATGGTAGTGGCGAAGCAGAGGGGCGATCTCAGCAGATTTGGCTTGCGACGGGACTGGCGCTTGAGCGATCGCTGGTCTCGCGACTGCCCACGACGGAAGATCGGCGTCGTCAAGATCATTCCTGTTCAAGGGAAGTCTTTCAACCTGCGATGCTCCGATAGGGTAATGCATCTCTCGATGGACGTGAGTGGGCAAGTCGTTGTAATTGTAAGTTAACCACCCATGGTCATAGGGGGATTGATCCATCATTCTCCTTATATCACGCCAGTCATGCTCGAAACCCTTAGCCACCTCGGGTGACACATTTCCGAGCACTTTCCATCGTAAGAACGACAGTTTGGCGTTTTGCATGCACAGCTCTTTGTCGTGGCTTGGGGTATTGGAGTTGTGCAGGTAATTGACCGTCGCTACTGATGTTTTGCTTCCCTGGCCAGTAGCCAGGCCAATGAGCTCTTGGCCTCCAGCAGCTTTGGGTATGCTCATTCTTTCAGGATGCAGTGGTCTTGAGGTCGGACGACTGGATGGCGTAGGCTTCTTCCTGACGGGCAGCGTTGCCAGCCACAGATATGCGTACGCCTGGAAGAGGAACCTCGATGTCGTTCTTTGGTAAGGCCTGAATTTGGCGACATCGGCACTATGGTTATATGGCCACAAGACGCTCTTGATATCATGCCGAATGTCAGATTCGTGTGTGTCGTGATGGGATTTAGACGAAAACCCAATGTCGGCCAATCTTGATCGCAGTTGAGTCTCGGCATAAATCGTAGTATGCCATTTGGTGTATTCTTCCTTGTACCATGGCCTCAGTCGTCGGAGCTCCAGTCGTCTTAATCTCAAACGCTGCGCAATCATTCTCATACTAAGATCAAGGCGGCCGTATCCCGAATAAGGGGGGTCAAGAATCCTGGCTCGTGAGGTTCGTGCGGCGTCTTGATAATGGCTCTCCCAAAACCGTTCAGAAACACAGACCCCCTTGTATCTCAGTGCCTTGTATCCGTATTTTCGCACATGCGTCTCCCAGAAGTCGGACGTTGTCATCGCGCAAAGAACGATGGCAGGTATGCCGGGCTTATATTCTCGAAATGGTTCCGTGAGAGGCCCTTTATCGTAGGTATCCATGTGACCGAAGCTTGAGACGCAGAAAGCTGGCCAAGGGGCACGTATACCGAAGAGGGTATGACGATCATTGTGGGGACCACCGTAGATGTCCTTCAAGGAGAATCCAAAGAATGACATTTCCCAAGAAATGCCTGCCTCTGCATACCTTTCTTCGTCCCAGAACTTCACTCGCGGCAACATAAGCAAGAGTTTGCGCGACAGAGGTGTCAACTTGTACTTACAACTTCGGTTGCCAAGAGGGGCTCCTTCGGATGCTTATCGAGATACGATCTGTGCATGTGGCCAGATATACCATGCTGTAGTCTTTGTTATCAGTAGAGCTACCTCGCCAGAAGGAGATCGTGGCATAATACCATTAACTCATGCAGTATCTAGCCAAAGTAGACTGGTTAATACCGAGAAATAACGGAGGAAGATTGGAATGAAGATATAGCTCACAGTCTTGGTCACTAGAAATGCCGCCTGGCGGCCTTCAGGGTCCTGGAACTTGATGTTTCGGAACAACGGCTGGAAATACTCGATACCAACACGCATCCACTTGAGCTGCCTCCCCTCCTTGTCAATGTGCCTCATCGTCAATCCAATAGCTGCGGGCCATTCCTCTCGAAGAAAGAATCCCCAAAAGAAAGTGTCGGCGATGTCGTCAAGGACTTTTCGAGCTTCTGCTGGACTAAGACGGGATTCGGGGCTGACCGGCTTGACGCGGATGATGGTACCCTTTCGAGGCTTTGCATTCTTGGACCCTACCATGACATCCCGTCGAATTTCATGGGAGTCCTGCTTGAGAAAACTTGCCAACCTAGCGGATCTTGAGCGTCAGTGAAATGCAGATGTGTTACAAATCCTTCCCCAACCGGAGGAATCAGGCCTCTGACTATTTTCGTGCGGGTAACGTGAGGACACACCATTCATGACTGACCGCTTCTGTCAAAATTCTATTCGCAATCTCGAGAACCCTGCTCAGCTTTGCCCAGGTGACGTCGTCGTCAATGTCGATTGAAAGCCCACTGGGGTCGGGGTGCTTGTAGCTTGACCATCTCTCTCTTCGGAAGATCTTGAACCACTTTGTTTCATCCACTTCGACAAACTCACTGGTTGCCCAAGATACATATGGATACAGTGTCAGTCCATCCATAAAACTTGACAGTTTCTCGCGTGGATCTTTATCAACAAACAGGTCGCTTTCGTTTTCAATGGCACCTGCCAGCTCCGACACGCGGCAGGCTGGTCCATATGCATCAATGTCTTGCAGAGCTCCGTATTCTGACGCTCGTAGCCCCCCAAGGGCTCTCATTTGCAAAGTCTCGCGGTACAGAAGCCTGTCGATTGTCGCAGGGGGTGGTTTCGGTAGTGAGTTTTCGTCGTTCTCGAAGGCCTCCCTAGTTGTATCCCAGTCGGGATATCGTATCGACCATATGTTCGGTTCGGGGCTGTCACGAGCCATTGTGTCGTTGAATCGCGCAACTGGAGGGATCGTTGAGGCACAATGGATGGAAGTATGACCTTACGCTGGGACTTCCCGGTACGTCCTCATGAGGAAATGAGGAAAGCAGAGAAAAGGAAAAAGTAAGCGTAGAAAAGATTGGAGCGCTTCGAGGTCTTTGGCATTTTGGATGATGTATGATTATTTGAGTTGGTCCAAAACTGGACCTCGACATTTCAGTTTTCGGAAAATTGTACAGGGGCGACAACCATGTTGTCCGGACTCCTTGGGCGATGGCAGAAAGACTCGTGAATCAATCGAGGACAATTGGTCAAGGCTCGGCTCATCAATGACCCCTTGAGTAATGTTTGTGCAAGCGGCTGCTCATAGATGTCCCTCCCAAACCGCCACGCAAGGGGGGACTCTATAGACAATGGAGAGAGTTCGTTGTGCATGGATCATGCCTTTGTGAGCAGCATCATAATCATGGGTAACTCCCAAGGGATAGGGACTGAAGATCCATTATGGGCCTTGCGATAGAACATTCTGTTTGTTCAATCTTACTGCGTGACTCAAACATGCAGATTGAATGAATGCATCATGCCCCCGGGACAATGCTTGAGAATCAAATGAGTCTGTGGTACGATTATGGCAGAGACCTCTGTTCAGTCGGCTGAGTCCAACATGTAAGGTTCGTCTGGCGGAAGACCTGAGACACGTGAGCCTGGTGTTGAGAAGGATGGTGTTCTTGAGGCAGAGTGTCACGCAAAGAAGCATGAAATGGGGTAAAGTCTGAACAACTGGCGATTTAGGGTCAGTAACTAGGGAGGCCGCTCTTCGATTTCGACTTGAAGTGGTACCAAGGTTGAAGAGCAACTTCGTGTTGTGTCTATCACGCCGTTGTGCGGCTTGCCATGTATGTTTGTTCCCAGACCTGCAATCTACTTCAATATGTTCAGCGTGCCAACTAGACCAGCCGGTGGCCCCGGTCCGCAACTGAGCGAAAACGAATACCTGGACAGATCGAATGAGAATGATCATTAGCCCTGGTCACGAAATTGCAACGTCTATTCCGGCAAGGCTTGGTTTGCTCATACGAGACGAGACGAGACGCATCATCACTCCGTGGGTTGACAGGCAGTACACTTAAGTACTCGGTGTTCCTCGGAGAATTGGGCTCTAGTTGCTATCTTCCTTAAACTTTAGATTCTTCTCTATCAAGATCACAAAACCCAGCAGCTAAGACTTCGTTTTCCTTCGCAAGATGCGCTTCGCTCACCTCGTCAGGTTTGCTGCAGTGATGTCGCTCACCTTGACTGCTACAGCAGGCATCGCAGTCAGGAGCGCAAATGCGACGGAAATTCAAGTCTCTTCAACCGACAACTCCACTCAGGATTTCGAATCCCTCCGGGGTGGAGCCTCAGCCACCTGTCACTCATTCACGATTAACCCGCGCTACTTCACCTTGTTATACGCAACCTGTCGTGACCACCTGGGCTTCTGGAAGATGGGCCATCTCGACTTGAACCTTTGCCTAGCAAATTCTTGTGGCAACCTTGAGGGTCGCGTAAGGTAGGTCGCTAGTTAACAGCGAATCCGTTCGCTATAAAGACAGTGAATTGTCTTTAGGCTAATGACACCTATGTTTGGTAATCAGAGGACGATACGCGGACAGTTGCTCAGCAAGGACCTGTTCAATCGACGGGCTCACCTTAAAATGCAAATGCAAAAACTGCTACGGCAGATGGAGCTGGAGTTGGACAACTTCCCTCTCGCCTAATTTTTCTTGGCATCTGCTGTTAGTGAATGAGTGAGCCTACCACCAAATTACTAACAGCCGAAAACTCTTCACCTCCCCTTGCCGGAGCCCGCATCCGCGATGGCCTCACAGCCGCCGTCGGGCACCGGACTGATGTCGGCCGACCAAGCCGACCCCGAACCAGGCTCCGGGACACCTCCGGAGCCGAACCCCACCTCAAGAGCTAAGCGACGCCGCGACGCCGAGGCACAGCCGACCCGGCCCAGCCTAACGGGAAGCCAGCTTGATGCCACCACCGACGCCCCTACCTCGGCCGAGGGGCCCGCAGCCTCTACCGCATCTGCTCCGAGCGGATCTGCCACAGGGTCCGTCTTGACAGCCCTTGCAGAAGAAGCTAGACAGTACGAGGCACGGAAAGACGTCTTTCTGACCATTGCACGGTCCGTCGACAGCGTTGTCGCCAGCTTTGACGGTTCTAGAAAGCAGATCGCGAAAGAAGCCACTGCCTATGTCATTCAAACCCTCAAGAGACTGATCAATCACGAGACAAGCCCAATAGCGGCCCGGAGTTGGGCGGCTGTCGTCGCACCGATGGCGGGCAACACCACTGCGGCGACCCGGAGCGGCCAGAGCTGCCAGAGCTCTGCCCGCCCGAAGGCCACACTCCCCGCCGAGGATCAGCCGCAGGCGCAGCCGAAGGAGGACCTCCGCATCTTTGCCCGCGTCCCGGAAGAAAGCTTAGCGGCCGCTCGGAAGATCGCACCGTTCGCCGTACGACAGATCGTCTGTAAGGCCGTTGGCCTGGGGCTAGCGGACCTTCCCCACGTCTACCATATCAGCACAGGTTACTCTCTGAAGCCGCGAAACAAGCAAATACAGGAAAGACTACTTACAAGTAAGGCAAAGCTGGCGGAATGCCTCGGCGCCCACCAAGTCGAGACGCCTATCAAGTGGCACACATACGTTGTGCCGCGATGCCCAACAAAACTACACAGCATTGGCGGGGACGTCCTGGACCCAGCCACACTCGTTGAAGATGAGGTCTTCGCACAGACAGGACAGAAGCCTGTCCTTGCTCGACCGTCCCGCCTTGGGCCCAACCCAGTCACGAACGAAATATCTTGGCTCATATCATTCACATCAGAGGTCACGCCCTTCAGGCTCTTCAACCAAAGCGGCAGATCTCTGCCCATCAAAAAACGAAGGACGCTCATCCGACATGACCCCGGCTGCCAGGGCTACCACGCCAACCGGTTCTGCGGACGACGACCGACTTGCAGCAACTGCGGAAGACCTTCCGACTCACACGAAACGGGACCTTGCATGGCCAGGCCCCAGTGTCCCAACTGCTGCGGCCCCTTCCAAGCCGGCCACACAGACTGCCCAGCGAGGCCCTCGGTCGTAAACGGCGTCGTCTCCCTTCCCGGTCGAAAGGAGCGGGCTCGGATCCGGAAGGCCGGCCAGAAAGCATCGGACACTCTGTACAAGGCTACTCGATCCGACAGTAGCCAGGAGGCGGCAGGCGTCCCTACCTCCACCAGCCAGAACCAGCAACCCGGCGCCAAGCGCGCGCGCACGAGAACGCCCTCCGCAAGCTCGATCGTTTGCCTCGGTGACGGAAGCACTGACAGCAGCAGCATGGATGAAGACGAGGCGGACGAAGGCGAAGGCGAAGACTCCCCCGACAACACCTCCATCGACCGTCCCGTGCTACCCATGCCAAGCAGGAGCCAACGGGCAGCACAGAAGCCAAACTACAACGTCGCGAATGCCTACACCCACCTCGAACTCGACTCGGAGACGTAAGCCGAGAGCGGCGACCCCACGGATGCTACGCGTTGCGCAGGGCAACGTCGGAAAGATCTCCCCGGCGCACACGGCTTTCCTGCAGCTCTGCTGGGAGGCTCAGATAGATGTGGTCCTCGTCCAGGAACCCTGGACGGGCTGGAAGGACGGAAACGTGCAACTGAACACGCACCCGGGTTTCGACTCTTTCGTCCCGGTCGACTTCTGGGACAGCGAAGGAACCAGACCAAGAG